TTTGGATTCATTGAATATTTTGAGGTGAATTAGTTTTATTTTTACCTTTGATTTACGTCACTATTCAGTAATAAAAATTTTCTAAAGTTTGGTATGTATCAATTATTTGTTAATATCAAGGCTATCTTAGAGCTCAAGAATGAATTTAATATATACATATAAGTAGTCAATATTGATTATTTCTATAAAGTTGATTTTTTCTATAGAGACCAAATTTAATTCAAGTATAAATACTAGTACTTTTTGATCAGTATTTAGTCTTGTGGACTAGTTATTATTTGTAAATTGATAAGATGCATAAGTCTTTTAATAAGTTACGCAATTATTTCTATTAATACGATTTTTTAGTATTAATGATGAATAGTCATTTTATTATTTAATCAATTATGAAACACATTCATGTCTTATAACTAAGGTCTTTTTAGAATGATTATAAAATAATTCTCAATTGGCATTTTAATTATGAAAAATATAACAAACAATCAAATCTCTTGTATTGTAATGGCTATATTTTGTAATATGTCCAATAACTTAACTTAAGCAACATCAACTATACGGAGTATGAACAAAGTTGTTTAAGATTGAGGTAGTCCAAGAAATTTGCAAATATGTTTTGCCATCAGATTGACTCCAAATCATGTACCTATAAGTACATTAGTTAACTAGTATTTGTTGACATTTTATTAACTAGTTTTTGTTGGTATTGGTTAACTGAGGTAATTATTATGGCATCATTGGATTGTACCACGCTGTCATGTTGTAATATGACTATATGATAAAAGATAATAATATGGATCTTATTATAGAAGAGTCAAGTTAAAAGATAAAATAAAAATATATATATATAAAAGATAGGAAGGTAGTAAAACTTTTAGTAGTAGTATTGTCTTTTTGAAATAGTAGCTTCTACTTATTTTGTAGGACCATAAATAAAGTAAAATAAAATAGATTAAAAAAATTAAAGATATAATCATATGTAGAAGGAAGTTAGGAGTTGATTTTAGCAGAATTTACCTCAAAAAAGACAAAAATTGATACTTGGAAAAGACCAATTATCAACCAAGGTCGAAATCAGACCCTAAGGCACAAAACTAAGCCTCGATGAGGATTTTGGAGTTCTTTGGTTGAATAGAGAATGGAATTGGAGAGCACACTTAATAGGGTTTCTATAAACATTAATTTTGAGGATTTTGGGTGGATAATGACTTTGTAAGAGCTTTACAAAGTTGAGGTTGTTTTTAGTGACTCTAGTTTTTGGAAATTAAAATAAGGTTGACATTTTAGACAATTTTAAGAATTTGGTAATAGATCTACATATAAAAAAAATTAGGTTTGTAGATATAGTTGTGCTTGATGTGCGCTATGAATTTGGATTTGATTGAACAATTAGATTGAAAAGCATAAAGATTTTTGTGGATTATAGTCTTAGAATTTAGGATTTTGAAGACTAGTGAGGTTTTCTTGGATATTTGTCAATCCTCCAATTAGATTGAAGCAAATCTTTTCTATAGAGATTGCATTATGGCATCATTGAATTATTATTATGGCATCATTGAATTATTATTTTGCTTCCAAACTTTACATCATTTGATTTCTAACAAGTGTGTAAAGTTTGGAAGCAAAATAATAATTCAATCATGAATAATTGATTCTAGGAGATTAATATCAAGGTCGAAGAAAAATAGTGGCTGATATCCAAGCACATTTTTGAGATTATCATCTATTTGGTAATTTTGATATATTTCAATTTTTTATGCTTATTATTTACTTAATTATTAAATAATGTGAAAATTTTGAGTTGAAATCAATAGTTCAAACATTAATTATTAAATTTCAAAATCTATTGTAAAGTTGTTAGAAATATGTTTGAGATTTTAAAAAATTGATTAAGATTTGGTTAGAGTTAGGATTTGGTTTGATTTAAGGTTTAGTTTAAGGTTCGGTTTTGATTTCTTTAGGATTTTTTTAGGATTTCTTTTAGGTTTTTTTAGGATTTTTTTATATTTTTTTATAATTTATTTTAAATATAAATATAAATATAAAATAAAATAAAATAATAATAATTTGACTTAATTGATGCTTGATTACATTTATTAAGCTTCTGTAGAAATTTCTATATAATTTTATTTGAGTGATTAGGACTTGTTTTTGCAAATTCTTTTTATCTTCTTTAGCCAAGTACCGAGTGTATTCTCAAGGAAGATTTCATGTAATACGACAATAAATTCTATAAATAAATAGGATTCTTTTAAGCTTATAATGGTCACTTTTTCTTAATATTATTTTTTTTTATTTTGGTATTTTATCCATTTTTTTCGTTTATAAATACAATCATTAATTTAGTGATTACCTCCAAATTCAAAACATGCACTTATTTGTATTGATTGTGTATTTAATCAATCATTTTATTTTAGCTAAAATAAGTCATATTTAATTTTTTCTACTACTTTTATAGTTTTTATAGTTTTTTTGCCTCAAATATATGTTAGGTGGTTGTGCAGATTATATGGATTCCACCAACATTCTCTTGAGTATATTTTGTGACAATATTTTCAAGTCAATATAGTATCACTATTGAAAAGTTTGTTATTGGTCATATTTTAAATGTAGAGATCTTTATTACTTATATATATCTTAGTTAGTTTCTATTCTTCCCTTTGCGCTTGTTTTTACTAAGTTATTACTCAATTTCTATATTCACACCTAATTTGATCTCTTTTACTTTAAACTTATATAACTCAATGTAAAATTAATAGAATTATTTGAAACTTATTGTAATAGATTAAATATTACATCTATTCTTTATATTCTAATTTTTAAATTGATTGATATTTTGAATCATTTATACCAAGAAAATCTCCCTAAGCTAACTTTCTAATTAATACTTTTCTTCACAATCTTATATCCGGTTATTATTTTGTACATATTTCTTAAATCAAATCTCAAGATACTTTAAAACTTTTTGATTGTAATTTTGTCTTAACTAAAAAACTATACTCTAAGTCTCATAATCCTAGTTCTCATAGACACCAAGTTTAATCCCTTAAAGTTGATGCCTTTGACTTACAAACTTATTGGATCCTATTTAATTTAGCCCTTTGTTTCTCCTTAACTTGATTATTTTTTATCTTCAAACTTTGCACACATGTGAATAAACTTGCCTTAAATACTATCCCAAAAGCTTACTCTAATCAAAGACTCTAATCAATCATGATAGATTCAAAACTAAGATAAAAATATAAAAATATAAAAATATGCCTTTTTTATTGACCAAAACAAAAGAGACAATAACAATGCCTTTTGTGCCTCTTCTTCCTCCCTCAAGTTACGTTAAGACTTCTAAATATCACCAAGATATTTCTAAGATGAGAATCCACCACATACAATCTACTCTATTCTTATCCTAATCCTTACTACTAATCTTCCTAGTTATTGATTTAATAGCCAATTTTCTACTAACAAACAAATAAGTACATGAATTAAAATAAGTACATGACTTAAAACAATACCATACTAATTCTAATATAATTTTATACTTTAAATAGATATAATACACATGAATGCTTATCATTTAACTATTAAACATCTCACATCGCAACGTTGCCATGATTCCTTGGTTTTGATTTTTGGTTGCAAGTTAATATGTCTCCAATCTCAAGAGCAACTTCTATTGTTCCTTCTATATTCTTTGGTTGCATATATATCATGTCTTGCCGGATATTGAATAGTAGCCCTTATTTAAACCATGGCATTTTAATGAAATCCGCAAGAATATTATTAAGATTTTCTATTAGATTTATAAACTAATCAAGATAATGTTCTATGAATTTGTAGTTGATTTTTTTGATTTTGGATAATCCAAGCCCAACATTGTTGTTAATTTTCACATGCCAAATAAAAGCCTGTCTATCTTTTTATCTAAAGATTAATTAAATTTCTAAAATATAATTTAAATTATAAATATACAAAATAAATATCTTTTAAACTTTTAAATTATATATTTATTTATGAAAATTTAAGATTAATGGTCTTTAAATCATTTTTATATAATTTTATGTAATATTTTAGTTTTTGTGGCTTTTTTTTAGTTATAATTGCTTGTAATTTATTAAGATTTTATTATAAATATTTAAGATATGTCATTTTGTAGTTTTTAGTAGAAATTTTAAGCATTGAGATTCATGTATCTATAAAAAATTTGATATTATTTGGAACAATGCAACACTTATTGTATTTCTTAATGTTAATTTTTATACAATAACTTTTTATATTATCTTTTAAATTTGCAAGTAAATACTATCTGATTTTGTCAGCAATTACTACAAAATGATGATGATCTTTATGTCAAAATTTAAAATATCTATTATGAATATATCTTTATTGGATAATTTATAAAATAAAATAAAAATAAAAATAAAAAAATCAATCAATTATATAGATGTGGCCAATACAAGATTTATAAAACAAATTGCTTGTACAATCAAAAGTATCTATTTAACATGTAAAACAATACTTTTTAAATCAATGGCATATTGTATAAAAACTAAAGATAAATAAAAATTTATTTAAATTTTTAATTTTAAAATCACTTCTCTTTTTATTCTTAAAAAATAATACATAAATATGAGTGATGTTGGTGTCAATTATTATTCCACCCATTGCTTTATCTTCTTCTTTTTATTTCTTTATATCATTATTATAACTATTTTTTTTCCTCTCTTGTTAGTCTTGTCCTTCTCTTTGTTTTATAGTTGTTTTCTCAATCATACCACTTTTTATTCAATCATCTTTTGTGGTTATGCTCCTTTGGGACTTTCCATTCAAAAAGCATAAAAAACAATGACATTCAAAAGAAATTAATCTTAGTTAAAATCTCAAAACCAAAATTCAAACAGCCAATCTATTTAATGCTATTGTACAATCATTGTATATAAACTACCATAGTTTGGTAGTTTAGTTTAAATCATTCAAAACCAATATTATATAATGTTATTATGTTGCCATAAGAACCAATAAAGACTATTACCATCACTATTTCACAGTATCCACAATAAGAGCTCCGGTTTAGAAACCTCTAAGCATGCACAATCCTGCACATGTTTCATCGGGGAATTCCATTGAATAAAACTTCAAACTTCAAAGCCCTGATTGCAGGTTTCTGATTCCAAAGTGCAATGCTCGCAATTGTGCCGCATTTCTGATCAACCCACACAAGGTTTGACGCTGCAACTATTTTTTTTATTTTTTGTTTTCATTTTTTTTCAGAATTGTCCAAGTTTGTGCTCGTATTGCAATCCTTTTGCAGGGTAAAGGCAGATGAGTTGCTCGAGGATTGGCATGCTGAAGTGCAACGACATGATTTCGGTATCTGGACATGGTTCGTGCGTGGATGCGCAAACCAAACATGGGGCCCACTCTAAACTTGTAAGAAGAGGCTACGCATGAATTTCTGGGAGTTGAGAAAGCATGAATTGGTGAAAGCTTGTGTCAATAATCTTCCGTCAGTTTGGTAACTTTGTTGTTCACAACTTTAGGTTAAATTCTTAATGTTTGTAAGTTTCTAAGTGGGTTTCGGAACAGCTTTCTGTGGTGGTTTACAAAAATCCTGATCTTAAAATTACTTGTGGAGATCTGCAATGTTGTTATGCGTAAATGTCATGACGATTTTCCCAAAATATTCAGAACTCGGTTCATGGAAGAATAATTTAGGTCAAAAAGCCTCAGTGCGAAGAGCTGAGAAGGGATGGTGGGGCCAGACAGAGATGTACAATAAGATGGTTGTAAGTGAAGGCATTGAGGCAGTTGAAGTTCTGCGAAAGAAGTGCGAGAGATGGCAGCCGACCAGCATTATGAATTGCACCATGGTGCCACCACAACTAATGTCTTCCGTCTTGGCCGAAAGGGTGAAAAGCCTCAAAGCCTGACTATTCGTCTTTACAATTTCCCATCGTTGCTCGAGGGCATGATCTTTGAAACTACATCTAGGTTATGAATCCTGGACATCAGATACAAACTCATGCAAGAGTTCAGTTCTTGATCGGCACAAGAGATGAATCAGGGAGACAAGGATAAGGGTAATTTGAGTTCAGGATTCGTGAGGCCAAAAGAGATTAATTCCCTCTCGAGGTTTATGTCTAGGATTTCCAAGCATGCACTTTAGGTTTATCCCTCGAACTACTTACAAATGCCTGGTACAATCAGGTAAACACTATCGTAAGCAGCATGACGAAAGAGATGGGAGTCATGGACTCCAGATTCAGCAATGAGCTACAAGGCATAAAGAGGTACCACGATCTGTGTTTTATTACAAGCTACATGTAGGAGGAGAGTTACCTTGTAAACGCATGCGGCCCCTTCTTCCCCACCTCATGCTATAGTTTGGATGAATTGAGTGCAGTGCTCATGATGACGCTGCAAGCACCAAGAGAGACATTGTTCCAGTTGATGCATTTCCTATTGACACAAAAACAGCTGCAAAACTAAATGCGGCCACAGAAAAAATGGATAACATCAAGGGTATAATTTTCTTCACTAACCCGAACTTTCTCAAAGCCATCAGCCCGTCTTTTGTTGAGGCAAGAACGTTGCACACCTGGTAATACAGAAAACTTCCACAGTCGTATCTATGTTTTACAATTATGATTTTTAGTGCCATAATCATATTAAGCTTCTGACGTTATACAGAATGATATTTTGTATCCAAAATCAGTGACAATCTTTTCGCATTCCGTGTCATCAGAGATTAAATCTACTATTAGCTATCCCCCAAAGGCTGGATCTACAATTGAGGGTACCATTACAAACCTAGCCCCTCGAGACAAGACCCCAATTAGGCCAGCTTCTCGTAACAAGTCTAATGCTAAACCAGCTGCTCCAGCCAAGACCTCCATGAGGTCAGCTTCCCAAGACAAGAACCTTGCCAAACCAGCTACTCGAAGTAAGATCGCCAAATCAGTTCCTCAGGACAAAACCATTAAAGGACCAGCTTCTCATGGCAAGACCACCACTAAACCACTCATTCAAGACGTCAAAACCACCACCGGATTAGCATATCGCGACAAACTCAAGGTACAGCCTAAACCAAATCCAGTGCAACGGTCTGTGAACCTGGGTAAGCAGACAAAGCAGACCTCCAAATGACAATTGAACTGGTTCTTTCTGGAGATTTAGAAGCAATTTACCAGGTTTAACAGGATTTTTCCGGCGGCATCTACAAATTGTTGACTTGATCGACTGTCTGATACTACTTAGCGAATCACATGAAGAGCACATAAATTGTCACTCTTCATCTTGATATCAGCGGCAAATGCTCGTGGACGGTTTAAAGCAAGGAACTTGGCATCCAATATGTTAAGAACTCGAGTAAATTGAGTAGGAAAGAATTTTTTTATTTTTAAAATAATGTCAGGACAAAAGAAAAACTGGTGATACGGAAGATTTCAAGGTTACGCGGACTAAGAATACAATTAGAGCGCAAGCTTTGCTGAATCAGCAGCCAAAATGCAACGCTTCCTAAAGTACACCCCTGCAAAGTGTCATTCAAAATCTCTGCATCTTCTGCAGGAAACTACAACCTCGTAATGAGCTCGATTTAAAGATGCTTCTTGCCTAAAATAATCTAAGAGCTAGAAGTACGACCTTTGTAGGGTAAAATAGGAAGGTCGTTTAAAGCGAGTAAATTTCAGAAAACACTGCACATGTCAAGCGACTGATGAAACTAAACTTTATTGAGAGATACTAGTTCAATTGCACTACCTAGAGGCCAAGCAGTTTCTACGTAGGATCCACTATATTTCACCTTTTTAACCAGCGTGATCTTCGTATCTGGTTTCACCTGAAATCCAGTCACGATGAGGGTGTACTGATAAGTCAAATCCATGCATAAGAATTTTCTAGTATCCTCTTGCACCTTGGGATACGATTGAGCAAGCTCGTCAAGGCTAAGCCTGCAAATCTTCTTGGCAGCTGCTTCGAAGTCTGCGGGCGTGATCACTGCCTCTGCGGCATCAGGATCCGTTACAATCCCTGACTCAAGAGCCCGATCAAAAAAGAAAGAAGCTACAAATAGCGACTTCATCCCAACACCACCACCTCCACCCCAAACTCCTGCAAATGTGCACTGGAGACTTTCACAGGTTTGATCTGCTTTAAGAGCCTTTATGACAAGCTTCTTACATTTCTCATACTCTCCGCCATCCACGCTGGCACTTGCTCTGTATTCTTGACTACCATATGTGTATGTTCCTTGAAAACCCTTAGGAAGACAAGAGCAGGATTCAGTGTCATCCAGAAGCTTCAGAATTTCCGCCCTAGAAGCCAACAATCCATAGTTAAGATAGCTGTGCACATATAGATTGTACGAAGCTCCCATAAGACTCATTTTCCTCACGTACGATTGCTGACCATCACGGGCTTTGGGAGCTTTCGCAAAATCTTCATCAGAAATTGCATACCCCATTTGCACAGAACCTCCACCAAGATCCACAATGCCAACTGTTTCATCAAAGGATTTCCCGAGGCGCTTCAGAAGATAATTGACTGTAACCCACTGATAGGAGCCTTCTTGCGTTCCGTCTATGATACTCACCCATTCGGGCTTGAATTTAAATGAACTTTCTCTCAATAATACATCGACCTCTTTCAACAGATTGCTGGATTGGTCTCCAGGAAGTAGTCTAAGACCCGCGGTTGCACCAAGAAGTACAGGCGTAGTGCTTCGCTGTTCAGTAGGGACAACTTCCAAAGCCTTGTCTAGCAAAGGCTGTAAAGACGCTGCTCCCTTCTTAGGATTAAGTGCATAAGAACTCAATCCAGGTTTAAGTTGATCGAACACTTCAAACCCATCGCCAACTTTGACAAGCTGTAAATCCTTGTCAAATGAAAATACATGCACTCTGCTGCCAGAGCTTCCTGCATCGAATACGACTGCATAACGCTTCTGTTCGGAAAGTCTCACATTGTTGCTGGGAAGCTCGAAACTAGAATCGAACGCGGCAATGCTATGGGGATCGACAATGCGGGGCATTAACACCAAGACTACAGATATGAGAGCGAGAGGCACACAAACAACAAAAATCACTCCCCTGTACCGGTGGCATTTTTCGGAAAACGTCTCCCTACGGAGTCTCCTCATTTTCTCTTCAATAAATTCTCCTGTCTCAGCAGCTCCCACTTCTTGTGCGTGTAGCTCCAGACTTGAACTCGAACAGCACCTGACGTTGCCTTTCTCCAAATCCAGATCGTCAGGAAACGCACTCTAAAGAACTGATTCCTCCAGTTCTTATTGAATGGTCATTTTTCTGTTAGCATAAGAAAAAGAAATTAGGCGTGTACATATGCACTCTTGCATCATACTTGAACTCAAAGTGGGGGGTGATTGCTTTCATAAGTATTAACTTGACCATAGCCAGCTCTTTAATCACTAGATAGATTATTGACTTTGAACTTTTAGATAGAGGATTCTATCGAGCAACAACAAACGATGCTTGGCAAAATACAACACCAATTCCCGTTCATACAAACAGGAAATTCAAAGGCCTTGGAGTGGCGTCAAAGAGGAATCATCACACAATTTAAATGCTACTGAGCTCTACAACACAGGCACCTTGCATTGAGCACAGCTGACTAGGTCAAACAGTTACTCGCGCATATTTTTCACTAACTAGAGCACTTATGTAAATTAAAATAATAACTGCATCAACTCAACCACTTTCTAAGAACGAAAAGGAAAAGAAGGAAAAGAAGGGGGAAAAAATTAAAGAAAAATAGAAACCCTCCCTATGATAAGTCCACGCATTGTACACAGCTACTGCATCGGCACAACAATCAAGACAAAATTAAAGCTAACAATACCGCCAATCTTCCTACCTACTTCTTATTTCGGTTCCCGAAGATTTGCTCTATTAGCTAATGTAAAAGCATTAGAATGGGCAAGGCATGACTGTTGACACGGGATCGAACCTTGACACTGCCCATCGCATCAATTCGATCATAAAAAGAAAAACACTCGTCAAATTAAATAAATAAATAAATAACGCTTTGTCCGTGGTGCTAAGTTCTGTAAGCAAAGTGTCGGGAAATCCCCATCAACAGCGCGGCCACACCCAAAACACCTCAAAAACTTCAAATGAGGAGAGAAATCAGCATTGCAAACTAGAAAAAGGTTTGCAAAGAGTTGGATCGTGATCTTACTAACGCACACTCAAAACTAACTCGTGAAACTAGGCACCACAATCCACAGAACGCCCTCCTTCATCGAAACCGACGGCACGCGAATCGAGACAAGATTGGTCTGAAGAAAAACCTCGGTGTCAACAAACCACCGAAAAAGCAGCAACTCATTCACACTAAATGTCTCCTTCACAACTCAAATAAAGACCCGATCTGAACACCGCTCCATCAGCCACGTCAAAAAAACGCCCTCATCTGCCCTCGAAGACCCGCTAACACCAGAAAAAAAATTACTCTGAAAACTATACTTGCCCGAGAAGAAACACGAATCCAGCTCGTCGGCGTCGAAAAGCTCACCAAAAATCCAGTCGGAAGGCCTTTCTGTCGACTGCCTCCACTCCACAGCGCAGCCCGCGCACCGAAATCGCTTCAAATTTCACCGAATTTTGCTGCTCCGAGCGCCCTCCAACGATTGACAAGCCCCGTAAATCCGCGTCGCTGTCCGTCTTCACTGATTTTCGCTTTAGACCTCCTTACATCGCTTGGACGGCCCGATGCAATTCGTTTCAATCCAACGGCGAGTGGTTTTCGGCAGAGAGAACGTGGGCACGGAGAACATATTCACCGGTAATAATACATCATATACGGGTGTCAACATAATGAAGGTATTGGAGGGTATCAGCATACTCGTGAACATGGTAGGGAACAAGTTTAGTGTTAAGATAACGTGAGAACGGGAAGGGAACTTGGAATTTGCGACTGTCGGTAGCTGCAGTAATTGTTTGCTTTAGGGTTTTGTAGTGTTGTGTGTGGTTCGTGGAAGCCCGGAGTATTTTCGATGTGGCGGTGTGAGTAATTCGTGGGAGATGGAACTACTCTGCAATTTGGAGTGTGCACAGTGCCATTGTGGGTGGTTTTTAGAGCTACGTTTGAGATCGTAACCAGTGACAGTGATGTGCAGCACTAGCTGAAGGTGCAGAAATTGTGCGCGATTTCGTTTCAACCTGATGAGGATGATGATTTACCGTTCATAGGATATATTGCATTGTTGGAATGCGTTACAAAGATTGTTCGGGTTAGGTGTGATTAATATTCAGTAGAGTGGCCATCGAGAACATTGTTACTCATCTCCGTGTTATTACAATTTCTTTCGTAGAGATCTGAAATTCCAGACTTGTCTGCTATGATTTCAACCGTCTAGGTGTCTGCGCTATGCCCTCAGATATTCTGAAGATGAGTACTCTTTTGTAATTTCATGATTATTCTCTAATTATGTCAAGTACGAGGAAAGGTCAAAGGGTTATTGGATAAAGGCCTCCCGATTATTCGTCCGTGTCTGTTCACGGTCTTAAAATTTTCACAGATTTGAAGTACATATTGTGGAAGAGACAGGTTTTGGGAAGAGACGGATTTTGGAAGAGATGAGGAGATACCGCAAGAGCTCTTGGCCGCCAAAAGACCTGCAGTTACGTGTTGTCAAAGTGCAACAGTTACCTACTTCGATCCTTTGTACCGACATACCATGCTGTTGATCCCATTGATTGTTTCTTCTAAGACGTCTTTTCCATACAGATGAGCTGACGATTGTGTAAGCATCAGATGGCGCAGCAATGAAGGCATTGCTAGGAAATGAAGATGAATTTGCAATGGTTGTTGAGGGTCTATTTGAGAAGTTGGGTCACTGATGAGAATGGCAAGTCTAACAGTAACGAGCTCTGACCAGCCATTTTGCAGCTGGAGGTTGAACAGGGCGTCTCTTGTCGCCTGTGTTTTGACTCTGCTTGATCCACGACTATTCTACATGAACTGATTAGATGGGTTGACGAGCTCCCCTGTTGCAAGATGTGCTTCAAGACATGGGTGAGTCCCTTTACGAGAAACCTATGACCGCTGTACTGAATGTGAAAATTCCAAATGGATCGTAAGTGTGAAGGGATTTCCTGTTTGTCACCTTTTGCTTACCATTTACAGGTCTTTTCGTGTTACTTAAGGCGTCCTTGGTTCTTCACCTTCTTGTTTATAGCTATTTATCCTTCATTTCCAACCTGTTATTCTAAGTCTTAATATTAACAAATTTTATGCTTAGTTCTTATTTCTACTTCCACAAATATTACAATTCAATCTGAGTTATTCCAGGATTTGTTTTGTACTTTTAAGGACCAATATCTATGCGAAGCAATTGTGCAACAATAAATTTGTACCTATTCAATTTGTGAAGAAATGTGGGATGTTTTACAAGTACAATCATTAGAAGCAACTTCTTTTACTTATAATAGGTTTTAAATGACCCAATCTCATTTTGTTGTTGGTTTTTTTTCTATGTTCTATGTATTTAAATTTTTTAAATATATTTATAATTACTTAGCTTGTAAATTTGAAAATAAGTGTATAGCAAAGACAAGTCTAATACATAGAAATTGTTTCATAAGAAATATTCTACACATTATAGATTCTACTTGTTGATATTGTGATGTCTAGTTATAAGATCTTCTAGTAGGAGAAAAGCAAAGATAGTATAGTATTGATGCAATATTGTTTTTTTATTGAATAAACAATTGAAACATATGCAAACTTAAACTAAGGGATTTATATATGAAGCACATAAACCACGCTAAGACCATTATAATAAATGTTCAATTAAACAAAGAGCTTGTATTCTACTATTAGGATTCTCACAAAAAGAAATAAAAAAAATAAAAAAAATAGAGATTTCTATCAAGTAAATAAATGGAAAATTTCATTTGTATCCCTGAAATATGTGGTAATATCAATAATACGCTGTATTCTTGATAATTACACATGTACTCGAGTTTTCTCATAATTTCAATTATACCCCTAGACTTGATAGAGTATGAGATTAACCCTGTTTGAGCTAATTTTGGGGCCCAAACCGCATGCCGCGCACATTTAGGTGGCCCCCACGAACCAGATCCCGTCGCTGCCGCCGCCACTAAGACAGAAAGCCTCTTCATTTTGTGGAGTCTCACCGTCGGCCTCAACTGACTGACACATCTAATTCACACGGAGAAAAAAACCCAACAATTACAATTACATCACTTTGAACCAACCTGTGGAATTGGTCTGAATTGGTTTACTCCTTGCCATCAGCGGCTCTCAAAGAGTCTGGCTGCACACGAGCCTGGGTGCCGACCAGCTTGGAGGATCCATACTTTCATGCAAGGTCTGCATTGGATTCATTCTCCTTCCCAATCTCCTCCTTGATCCACTTGTAGGTGATGGCAAGCTCATCTTTGAGTCGCATGGATAGAGCCAAGCCGAGCTTCTCCTTAATCAGAGTGTTAACCGAGTTTTCCCCCGCACTCCCTAGGGTCCAGAAAAGTGCTTGATCGGGAGCTGCTTGTTATCGAAGCTGAGCACAATCTCGGCCATCTCGTTCATCCTCATCATCTCATCACTACCGATATTTACAGGCTCTTGGAAGTTGGACTTCGTCAAGCGCATGACGCCCTCAACACACTTGTCGATGAAGGTGAAGGAGCGAGTTTGCTTGCCATCGCCCCACATCTCGAAATGCTCGGTGCCTGTCAAGGTCTTTCTGCTGAAAGCGGAGGGTGCCTTCTCACGCCTACCTATACAACCAAGATCAACAATGGGTACTTAGAATCCTTGAGACAGAATCAAGGCAAAACACAAGTATATCAACTCGTCTTTCCCGTTCCACACCAAAACCCACACTATGCAAGTCCTCCATCGACAAGGAATTGTTGCTCAAACTGCTTGCCGGACGCAGCAAGGTGTGAATACGGTGTCGGTAACGTGTGACCCATTTCGTTGTGCTCCTCCGAAACTTTGCCCTGGACCTAAAGCTAGGAGTTTGCGAGGACCATGTGAGCGATTTGTCGGGGGAGGGATCGACTCAAGCTAAAGAGATCTTATAGCATGTTCAGAGCCATGAAATGACTAGTGGCTAGACTCAGCAGTCAGCAGAAAGCGTTTGCCTCAGACTGAAGGTGTGAAGGAAAAAGCTTCATGATATTTTTGTTTAAGAACTAAACTACATACCATTACAAGCATAAGTATGTACAGATATTTTTATTTAAGATCTAAATTATGATTTCTATAGACCCAACCTTTAAAACCAAACACAATAAGATTTTGGTTTTATTTAATATAAAATTATCAATCATTCTATGCATTTAAATTCTTTTGAATGATTTTATTTTTATTTTTTTTCTATTATATACCATGATGATTGTTAACAATTGAAAGAGTAAGATCCAAATAGCCTTTGTTATTATAACTTGATCTTAAGGAATATACATTAATTAGTAGATAATTTGTTTTAAACTAAGGATGTAAAAAATAAATCTTTATTAATGTTCAAGTTCTCTATTTTTTTAATATATCAATTCTAATGATAAAATTTATTAAATATGCACCTTCCAATATTAAGAAGTATGAATTTTGATGGATGTAGTTCATGTATGCAATTGTATTGCCAAATAATACTTATATCATTGATGTATTGTTTTTCTAGTACTTAAAAAAAATTAATCAAAAATGAAAATATGTTTGTATATTTGGTACAAAAGATAACCTTGGTAATAATAATATTAATGATATTCAAACAAGGACAAAAAAAATTCAAAATTATTAGCCAATTAATATGTATTAGATGGTTTTCTATCTATTTAATGTTTTTTTTATAATAATTTCAACATACCAACACTATGGATCCTATCAAATTAAATAATGCGTCAATACAATCTAATAAGACAATCTATTAAAATCATATCTAGTTCTTGTACATTTTTTAAGAAAAAATAATTTTTCAAACTTGGTGTATAAATGATAAGTAAAAAAACATCATGTGTATTAAAGTAGATATTACAAAAACTATTAAAGCTTCTAATATTAACTTTTAACTTGCATTTAAGTAATATCTATAGAACATATAGAAAAAATACATGAATTGATTTATTGGTTGGTTGTTTGATATTGATTTTTACAAATATAACTATTATGAGATAGTTAAACAATATAAATCAATAATAAACAAGAAAGCTAAGACCTCCATTTTGAGGTTAGTAGTATATGCCCAAAAGACTTTTAAGATACAAATATATATATATATATATATATATATAGAGAGAGAGAGAGAGAGAGAGAGAGAGAGAGATAGATATATATATATATATATATATACATATCTTATGATCTTACATATGTTCAATTCAAAAAGAGGTTGCATCTCAAATATATTATGTATAACTTGTATATCTACCAAGCTATATATATATATATATATATATATATATACATATAATAAAATTTAAAAATAAAAATATCTAAAAAAAATTAAATTTCTTTAAATAATAAGATATAATCTTATTTAAAGAAATATATAGGACAAAATAAATAATCTTCTTGAGGATACTATACATTGATTATAAATAGATAAGATAAACTAGAAGTTTTTTTTATAATTTTTTGTCAAGTATTATGGCAATTAGTACTTCATAATATTTAAAAGATACCAGTAATTACATTTATCAAATTTTTATTATACTAATATAATGAGCTTAATGACACTAATTGTTTAAAAGATATTTTATTGGGATATGTTGCATTGTAAATGTATACCATACAACAATAGAATTATTGATAGAAAATAATGTTGTATATCATTATTAAAGAAAGATACATCTATGTTAGTCCTAAGATAATGATCTTTATATAAAACTATAATGTATACAAGACTTTCTTCAAATTTATGTGTATAAGTTTTATAAAGTTCTACAAGAATCACTGATTTTTTTAATATAGTAAAATAGATAATAGATAAATATGAAAACTAATATTTGATATTTAATACTTAATAACATGAATAAATTAGATATTATCTTCGAAATATAAGGTGCTTATAATATAATAAAATAAGAATCAATCCAAGTATTCATTCATATTATACACCAAATAATAATTGTGAGAGTTGCAAAATGAAGTAATGTATAATTTACCAAAACAATTGATGTACAAAAATAGTATAATAAAATTTTAATTTTAATTTATATACTATAGTTTTTGCTTCTTGGTTATTTTTTTAAATTCTATACTTTTGTTCTTTATATCCTCTTATTTAGACTTGTCATTGTTTAGACTCCTTTGAAGTGTTGTCCATTTTATTATGTTCCACCTTCAAAGACAATGTCTTGCAATACTCACTTCTCTAGTATAATGACATTATAAATGAAAATATCCATCTTTCACTTAAATACCAAATTGTCTTATAAATTTTTCACATATTAAAAATTGGTCAAAGATCTTTGTACTTATTGTAAAACTTCTACTACTTTTATTTCTTAAAATGGATATTAAGAAATAAGATAGTGGAAATAAATCTTAAAGAACAATTTTTAGAAGAACTAATGGTATTACTCCTTTTCATCCTATTTAGTCTTCTTGAACTCATTGAAATTGTTAATACAAAATCAATATTTGCTTCAATCTATGTATTTATTAGATCCATCACCAACTAATATATATATATATATATATATATATATATATATACTTCTTTATTATTTCTTGTTGTTTTTATAGCTTAATTTAAAGACACTTTAATAATAAGTTGCATACAAAGTAACATCAGAAGTAGAACTTTGGATGAAATTATGTTATAACATGTTTTTTTATGAAATCAATGAACATTTTTTATATGTCATTTTATTTAACATATCCCAACTTCCAAATTTGAGGTTTAAAATAAAGTCTAACAGATTATATTTTTAGAACTTAATAATTAAAAAATAGATAAAAAGATAGACTTGAGGCAACCTAAATTGTGCAAGTCTAATGACAAGTTATATACTTGTGACCAAATCAAGAGTTATTTAAAGACCTTGCTTCAATACTACCTATGGTTCTTAAGACCAATTTTGTATCTAAGAAATGTCATGAGAGTATGTTAAGAAATTCACAAATTGAATATCTATTCCTAAACCTTCTTTTTTATTTGGAAAAACAATCATCTATGACATTGTTGATACTTTATATGACTAAAATTCATGCTTTTGATTTTAAGGCCTCCAAAAAGAACTATATGTCTACATTAGTTATGAATATCAAAATGTAGTAGTAATCTTAAGAATAATATATTATAAGAAATTATAAATAGACTTTTAACATAGTTTTTGATTGACTTACTTTTGACAAGGTGCAATATTGATTCTTGGTCTTACTTGGTCTTTATTAAAACCTTTATTATTATTATTTTTCGAATAAAGTACTTCATTTATACTTAATTTTAAAATATTGTTGAAATAATGGCACATTTATACTTGGTATTTTTTTTATAAGACATCTTTTAAACTATATAAATCTTAAACGAATCTATGATGAAAGTACACTTATTAAGATATTTTTCTTAAAAACTGGCTTCTTAAATGTGTTAATAATAACTTATTCAAAAACAATTGCTCTCATAGCAATCTTTTTGGTTAATTTTTGTGGTATCTCTAAGTAGACTTTTCTATAAGTTTTTTAGTTGAGTGTATAAAAGAAGTTCTTGATAGTAACATGTTTGGAACAAGTTCAATTACTAGTTTAAAAACAAATTATGAGATAAGACTATACAATTTGAAAGTATGATTTAGTGTCAACTATATTTGACTATTAATATTGTCCAACCAAAATTGGATGTTTGTAATATCTTCCATTATATTTTTCAAAATATTTTGAGATGTTATTGCCAAAATATTCTTTAGTCTATTAAAATAAAAATAAAAATATCTAATTCTTTGTTACTTAAAAAATATATTTTTTAATTAAGGTTGTATCTAATATTTATCAATTTCTTTAATTTTTTTCTATATTACATTTATTATCTTTCATATTGTAAAAATATGTTATTTCATATATTATTATTCCATAATGCTTCTTTTATTTCATTCTTATATCTTTCCTTTCCATATCATTCCACTACTAGAAGCAGAATATATAGATATATAGATATATAGATATATATATATATATATAACAATTTTTTTTCACATATTGAGAGCATCACTTCTATGAAGTTAGGATGAAAAGTCAATTCCAATGCCTTAAAAAAAAATTCACCGTCTCCTAAACCATCATTTCATCGACTAAATTCACCCAATTCAAAAAGAAAATAAACCCACTAAATTTAGCAACACATGGCCACACTTCAAAAATTTTCTCTCACATCCACGCAAGGAAACGAAGCCGAGGGTTCGACTCGGCGCGTTCACACTGAAGCCAGGCACAGAGCAGTGCTATACTAAATAAATGGCCTCTATTGGACGTCGATCGCCGTGTGAACAACTTGGGGATAGGACCGGGATCTGACAGTGGGTATCACGCGGGGTGGAGGATCTGACGGCGTACTAGGGCCTTGGGGCCGTGAAGAGCAGCCACCCTGAGGGGTTTTGTGCTTCTTCATTGTTCTAGCATTCCCTCTTTGTTGTTGCTGCTGCTGCTATTGCTGCTGTAGCCGCTGCTCCCAAGCCAGGCCAGTGCTTGACTCAGCCAGACTTCGTCACTAGGTCACTCTTCTTCGTCACTCATTTACTCACTCCTCCACCATGACGGCGCAGGCCGCAGAAGATTTGGCCACCGAGCTGGAGCAGCAGAAGATTCACGTGAGGACTCATTCCTCACTCGATAGAGCGTCGAACCGGGTCTTCTTGTTCACCTTTGTTTGCCGAATTAGCTGAGATTTTGAAGTTTGGCCTGAACCCTAGTTTTTTGGGTTGTCGTACCTGGACGTCTATTTTTAATTTTTAATTTTATTTATTTTCTTAATTTTTTTGTTTACACTTGAAGTTGGTGCTGTGTTGTTGAAGCTTGACATAGGTTTTTGAGTGTGTATGTTGTGTGCGGTAGTTTTTTTTGTTTGGGTTTCTTTGGGTTGGTGTGACTTGGTTTAGGCATGGTCTGTGCGCAGCGGAGTTGCTTGAGGATCCTGGGTTTTTCTTTTGCTTATTTTTATTTTTATTTTATTTTTTATGCGGGTGTATGATAGGGAATGAGACTGATGATGGGTCTATGTTTCCTTTACTGCTTCGTAGATGAGGGGTCACCAAGGAGGGATTACATGGGATAATTGTTCATGTCAGTCACTTTATGTGCTTAAATTTTGATAGTTGGTAGGTTAGATGTTCGCTTTTAGGTTTTGAGAAAATGTGGTTCCTGTTGACCACCTGTGATTGAATTCTGCCTGTGGAACTGTCCATGCACAGTCAGATGAGCCCACTATTGAGGACGCGAAGGACGATGATGATGACGACGACGACGACGAGGATGAGGATGATGTCCTTGATGGAGCTGACGGCCAAGGTGAAGGTCTGTTGTCAACGACCCTTGCCAACGTCTATTGACCCAAGCCTCTGTTCAGAATTAGTGAGTGATGCTTTCTAAAATTGTAAGCTAGAGGCATTACTCTGTTTGATCGAGTTTCTAAATTTTCTTTTCTTGCAGGTGAAGATGGTTCAGGTGCGGGTGGAAAGTCCAAGCAGAGCCGTGGTGAGAAGAAAAGCAGGAAGGCCATGCAAAAGCTTGGCATGAAGCCCGTGACCGATGTCACCCGAGTTACCATCAAGAAGAGCAAAAATGTATGCCTCGTCATAGCTTCTTTTAACACGCTATCTAATCTGAACATTTATATAACCGGGAATAAGAGTGTAATGTTATTTTCCATAGTTAATATGGCCAGTGTCTCCTAAGAAAGGGACTTCGTTTTAATTAGATATATTTCAAGTGTTTTAAAACAAATAGATGCCATTCCTGTAACGATGCTTTAACGCACTAAATATCTCCGAACTGTATTTTTCAGTGTGCTTATCTGTGTCTGGTCTCTGAAAAGCAATGTATTCTGTTGGCTTACGACCAATGTTGTAAAATTTGCAGATCCTCTTCGTGATCTCCGCTCCTGATGTGTTCAAGAGCCCTGCATCAGACACGTACATTATCTTTGGCGAAGCCAAGATTGAGGACTTGAGTTCTCAACTACAGAGTCAAGCTGCTGAGCAGTTCAAGGTACCAGAAGCTGCCAATGTGGAGGCTAAGGCTGCTCCCTCTGCTGCTGTTGAAGCTGAAGATGAGGGAGACGTTGATGAAACAGGCGTAGAGCCCAAGGATATTGAGTTGGTCATGACTCAAGCCGGAGTTTCACGTGCCAAAGCTGTTAAAGCCCTAAAGACAACTGGTGGGGATATTGTTAGTGCCATCATGGATCTCACAGGTTAGGGCAGTGAAACCAATCCTGAGCTTTGCAGTAAGAAACAGAGTGTGCACCGTTTTTTGCTCCCCCACGTGGTTCCGGAAGTTCCGTGCTGGGTGACATGTTGGTGTTCATAGTTGAAACTAAAATGATTTTTTCTTTTTTTAGTTTGAACATCTTACTGTGCCATTGTCATTTAATGACTCCTCTATTAACCGCTCGCGTATCCCGTATTTCCCGCTCACATGTCATCAAGAGTCCAACCAGCATGAATCTTGAAAGTTTTGCTCGGACCTAGCCATTTAATTCCAGTCAATTCAGAGTCGGTTCACGTGGTATCGAACATCATATTGCAGGACGCATTAGTGTGATGCTGGGATTATGTTCTACAGAACATGTATGTTTGACTAAAAATAATCAGATGAAATTAATTTAAGGCATCGTCGAATGTGAAACAAAATCCGCTTTCAGGAGAAACTGTTTCTTCTCTGGTGAGTGGCTAACCAAGGAAGGAGAGCTTGAGAACGATGTAAGCTATATCACTCTACAGCTCCAGTGGTGTGGTGTCGAATTACTCAATTTTCACTGTTCCATTTCAAATTGCTGAACTGAATATTTAGGATTATTGCTAATTAGGTGTTATGGAAATTCAAGTAGGTTTTGAATTGGAGGTAGTACAATTAGTGGAAGTTGCAAATCTTTCCAGAGAAAATACCCCTTCACTACTCATCATATAAGGATCAATTATTGAATCATCAAAATTTACTCAAAATGTATGGAATTGAAGACATTCCATTAATTGAACAGGAACTATTACTTCGAAAAAGGTGACTAGAAATGTAAGGAAAATTGAGTAGCCCATTTTAGAAAATGAAAGCTGTAGAATCTGTTTAGTATCTTTAGTTTTTTGAACATATTAAAGCAATCGAATAAGATTGTTAGTTTCTACTTAGGAAATTGTGAAAAAGTTTTATTCTTCTTCTACTCTTGTGGTAAATTGGTTTCATGCATATCTTTGAATATGTTTTGAGATGAAATCAGTCCTTGGTTAGTGTCTCTACAAAATAGAAGGTAGATGTTGGTGATGCATGTAAAATCCTGAGTAAACTAGATCTTCTCACTTGTTTTATAAAAACTTTAATCTGAAATCTTGTTTTAAAAAAATAATTTAAAAATTATGTTTTATGCTACTTCTTAGCAATCCACAAAAAACTCAGTACAATTTCATGGAAATTTTGTAGCAAGTTCAAGGATAGCCTCTTAAGTTTTTTGAATTATATTTTACAATGTTTTCAAAACATCTTGAGGGTGTTAAGGATATTTTCAATTTTGCTTCATACACCAACATAAGCAAATTTTTGACATTACACAAAAGATCTTGATTGGGAAAAAAATTAATGGATTTTTTATTTGTTTGTTTGGTCCTTCTATTGAAATTAGTTATTTAATTGAGATTGTTATTCAATTAATAAATTTTTTTAAAAAAACCTAAAAAAAAATCTACAAAATCAACAAGTTTATGTTGATATCAAAATAGATAATATATATATATATATATATATATATATATAAGGAGTTGTTAAAGCCACACTCTTTGTTGCCACCTCATGATTCATTCTATACATGTCCCTTGTCCCCAACCTCATTCCAAGCCTTTGTCCCTTGTTCCCAGCCCTTGTTCCTAGCCACCATTTCTACCCGCCTCCATCTCTTGTCTTGACCCTGCCATCTCCACCCTACCTATCTTAAGTAAGCATTTCACAAATTCATCCCATTTTTAATGTAATTAAAAAAATTAATTTCTGAAGTTAAGTTCTTTGTAATTTTTTTCATCTAATAAGATAACATGCTATAATTTTTATTTTTTCATTTTTTATATATAACATTATTAATGATGTAATGAATATTATTAAACTACTGTATCAAAGTATCATGCTTTTAGTGGATTTTATGAAAAATTCATTAAGTTTCAAAGATGATCCTCAAAATAAATTTGTTTCACATATTATATGTAAAAGAAGATATTTACTTTTATGTTTGATTTAATGAAGATTAAAGACTTTAGATTATCAAATATTATTCAAATTATTACATAAATTATGTATTTTAGTTCTTGTAGAATTATGTTTTTTTTATCCATATAAAAAAATTCAAAAATACTTAAATTTATTTACATATCTTATTTGAGAATATCACAAGGTTTTGGATAGTATTTGATAATCATTGATAATTATATTTGAATATCACAAGGTTTTGGATAGTATTTGATAATCATTGATAATTATATTTGAGCATCACAAGTTTTTGGATAATATTTGATAATCATTGATAATTGTATTTGAATATCACAAGTTTTTTAATAATATCATAAGTTTTTGAAACTTGAGAAAAATTCAAATATAATTATTCAAATATAATTATAAAATTATTTTTAAAATCTTTAATTGAATTGTTTTTGAAACCATCCTCAATTCCATCTAATATTTATATTAATGAAATCAAACAACCTTATTTCAATGAAATGTTATATAACAATTGTAATTTTTTAAGATTATTTGAATTATAAACCACAACTTTGAGAATTAATCTTTACATACCAAACAAAAAATAATCTTCAAATTTGTGTTTTAAAAATAAGATAACTATAACAATAAATTTAATTTTAATTATAGAAAAATAAATCTTTAAAGATATTGAATTTACTAGCTTACTAATATTTTACTTTTATTCTATAAATTATTTGATTCTACAAATAGAAATTATAATTAATTTTTTTATAATTTAAATTTTGTATATATATATATATATATATATATATATATATCTATACATATATACATATATCAAATTTATATTTTTGACAAATATTCTGAGTTGAAATACTAGAAGATTATTTTGTTACAATTATATCAAAAGAGTACACAATGCAATGTAACATTGATTATATTTGAAAGAAAACATTCAAATGAAATTAGTAAATATCACCTTACGGCTATGTAACATATGGCTTTTATGTTTGTTATGTTATTTTCTAAAGTGATATTTATAATAGAATTTATTTTTATTCTTCTGAATAAATACAAATTAACATTCTAATATATCAAAATATTATTTTACAGATATGTATGTATAATGTATGTATAATCACATTTAAAAATGCACTTACATTTTTTTAAATCAATATTTTTTAATTTGAGTAATTTTTATTAGATTCCTTTGCTTAGGATATATTCTACCTAATTCATGACTTTTGCTTCATTCTAATTAGTTTGACTTAAGCTCACATTTATTATGATGAGAATGGGATAAGGATAGGGGTGGAGGAGAGAAGAGGTTGTAGGAGACAATGGTTGGAAATGGGATTGGGGACAAGAGATGGGTTCAAAAAGAGTCATGAGGTGGCAAAGGAGGGTGTGACTTTAACAACTTCATAGATATATATATATATATATATATATTACTTACTTTAAATTATTATTATTATTAATATTATTATTATTTTAATCTATTACAACAAACTTGAAATAAAATTATCATGTCATGAATACCTTGTTGAGATTCTTCTAAGGATTTATTAAAAATTTTATTAAGAATATTTTTGATATTAAAGAAATAAATATATAAAGACTTGTTAGAATGTATGACTCATGTAAGAAGAAAGATGATTAGAAATTTTAAATTTTAAGAACAAAGAAATAGTAGAATATTTAATACCATATACAATGAAACTAAAGAATCCTAACTTAATGTTGGAATATGAAAAATATATTGACATAACTAAAAATGGCTCTAGTTGTGCCTACATATTACAAGTAAACAAAAAGACCATGTGGAAGCTTTCTACAGACTATAATGGTTGTAGATTGGATATTCAAGTTATAGAATTCTACTAGAATAGCTTTTTAAATGTTTAAAACTTCTAAGAAAAATTTGTACAACTATGTGGCACATGTAAAGCTTCTTGCAAAGCCAACCAATATCTAGGATATTTTTAAAATATTTTACAAAGAAGATATAATCTATTGTCATGGATATATATATTTATCTTGATAATTATCTAGATAATAAGAATAGATAGAAGTAAGTCAAAGTAAATAAATATGATAATAGCTTGTGAAAAGCTTCCCAGAAGCTTCATAGACGCTGCTTTGCCTTTATACATATCTATAGGTGATTGATAGGTTGAAAACTTGGCCAACAAAGAGGCCACATCTCAACATGTTGACCACTTGTAGTACAAGTTGGACATATGGTGCACACCTAGGAAACTTGTCTTACAAATTAGACATGTGTCTTGCAAATTGGATGCGTATTAGAGGTTGTATAGTATGTCGCCATGTATTTCTTAGTTAAGTAGTATATTTAGAGGGAAGACTGAGGCCTTCCTCACTCTTGTCAACTCTTTTCTTGCTTTTAGTCTAGTTTCAAGAGTCTCATGTTTTCTAGTCTTTGGCAATAGCCATTCCAATTCTTCCTTGAATATACATACTTTCTTCTATTTTGCCATTTTCTTTTTGATATAGATTCTATGAGTTTATGTATCTTCTTCCAGTTTGTATCCTTGACAGATTGAAAAGAGTGTACATACAATATCAGAGCTTTGTCCTTTCTTGATCAAGAATGGATTACCCCTTTCTCATGATAAGATATAACCATCTTAGAAGTTGCGGATTACCCTCTTTTAAATTGATATTATTTCTAGATTTTTTTTTCTTAATTTTTGAATATTGTATTAAGTGAAAATAGACACCTTTCTTTTTATTGTACTAGCATGACAAAGCGTACTCAAATAAAGAATGCAATGGCTCAAATACAAGACCAAATGAGAGAGTTAATACTTACAATGCATCAACTCAATCTACCACCACAAAGACTAACAAGATTATTAGACAATGAAGATATAGAGATGATTGGAGTTGCTTCAACATCTACACCAAGCTATATTACTGCTCCTATAATAGAATATCATTCAAATTTTAAGGAATCAAAAATTAGATTACTTGAGAAGTTTGATGGCACAAGATCTAAATTTCAAAGATTCATCAATCAGGTACAATTGGTAACCTCAAAGTTATCCAAGTCAGGGATCACAAGTCAAGTTTATTGGAACACTACTTTCAAGTTCCGGTTTAATATAATTTTCATCATTTCTTGAATGATGTGATTCAATATTGGATAATTTAGAAACATTTTTAGTGGAGTTTTCATCTATATATGGAGAATATGATGCAATCCATATTGCAA